ATACCGCGTGTATAAACAAAGCCTACACAAATTTGAATCTTTGTTATAAACAAAGCAATAACTGACAGAGTATAATAAGTATATACACTCATACTAATCAGAGTGCTGATAAATGCATATTCGTTACCAAACTGAGCACTGGTAGTGACATATTACAAAACGGATAAAAGTTGGTGACTACCCGCTTGCCAACTGGATGATGCAGTAAAATACGCGATCTTTCAGGACGCTGTAGTTCATACGTATATCGATCTCGATCATCAAGTCGGTAAGACGCCCATCCAGACTGACTGTATCCCAGTTCTACAGCGTGTGTTTATATTTAAAAAAAAAAAACCAGTAGGTATACCAAGCGCGGACGTAAGAGAAGATACAGATAAAAAGTAATTTGCAGAGACGCCCAAAGTAGTAACGTTAATTTTTTCCCACGTTTTCTTTAACTTGCTTTCTCTGTGTCTTTGTGTGTTTGTCTTTCCAATCAAATCTTGCGATCGAAATTTCTGGCACTTCCCAGTTAGCTAGCGCGCTGAAATTTTCAGGGAAGCTTTCTTTTGGATGACCATTGAATATTCAATTGTTATTATTACTAAATTGATCAATGGAAACATTTTATGGAGCATTTTAGACCGCTATATAATCTATATATATAATTCTCCTCTGCTAGCCATTAGAAAAAAACCCAGCGACGCGTACCTCGCGCGCAGTGAAGCGAACGATCACATGTCGCCACAGGCTTAGGGGCAGAGAATTTAGCTTGAACCGAGTTTAAACTTACAGGAGGTAGGCCAGTTTGGGGGAGACGATATGGTCGAGTGGTTGGGCACACGATTGCTATCCCACTCGACACGGGTTCAAATCTATGTGTTCTAGTCAGTAACGTATTCACACAACGTGTTTTTTACGAGTTGTCTTTTTACGAGTTGTCTTCGTTTACCCAAAAAAAAAGTGAAAAGATAAAATCGATAGCAAGATTTACATGCAAACAAACAGACAAACACTAAAAAGTAGAAAATAATAATCATTAAAAAAGTTTTAAAAAACCCACGTTTTCTGATTGAACTAAAAAGTAGAAAATAAATACTATACATCACAATAATGCAAGCGATCACTCTACTATAAGCTATCAAAAACGTGGGGCGCCGTGATTTTCTTACAGTTTCTAATACTGTTGACTCTCTACAAGCTCCCTAATAAAAGTCAATAGTATTATCTAATCAATAGTAATATAACTTTTACTTCGGCGACCCACGTTTTTGATAGCTTATAGTAGAGTGATCGCTTGCATTATTGTGATGTATAGTATTTATTTTCTACTTTTTAGTTCAATCAGAAAACGTGGGTTTTTTAAAACTTTTTTAATGATTATTATTCACAATTTGCAAAAGTAGAGGTCATCCATGATGTGAAACGCAAAAATTAAAGACCCTCTGTTGGAAAAATATTTTCAGAGTACTGTTGCATTTTATTGGATGTCCACAAAGGAGGGGGGGGGGAGTGGCTATTCTAAAATGTTTTATAACAATAAAGTAACCTTTGAATTAAAGCATGATCTATACAATTTCATTAAGCTAAACAGGATCATGGTTTTTTAAATAATAGTGACGTCCGAAAAGGCGATGAAATCGTTGAGTATTACAAATATATTAAACCACTTTTATGAGGACGTAGCTGTACATACACTTAGCTATATACATGTTAATAGCGGGATAATGGTTAAATTAGCGATAAGATTGCAGTGCTTCTTCCAGACTTTTTTCTCCGGTGGGGGGGGGGGGTGGAGGTGCACTTGAAATGTTCGGAGGGGCGGGCTAAAATTTCCGGGGGGGGGGGGGGGAGGGGGCGGTAGACTTATTTCGGGGGGGGGGGGGAATATGAAACTCTGTACGATTGTAGAAACTCCCGTTTCTATTTACATTGCAATCTCCATCGAGTAAAACAACTGCGATTGGAGACAACTGATTTGAAAGGAATTGAAAGACGAACATCATAATACAAAATCGGTGTCGGCGTAGTCGAGTCGGTAAAGCTCATGGCTGCTAAACCGATAAGTCTTGAGTTCGAACAAATCATCACCGTTGATCAGAGAAACGCCTTGTTTTGATCAGAGAAACGCCTTGTTTTGTAGACAAGAGCGTGGTGGTTGAGGGGTAGCACTTTACCATGGGGCCAGTAAACAAAAAATACTAAACACATCCGTGTTCATGTATGTATGACCATTAGAATATGTAAATCTCACATGTAAACAGATAAAGCAAACTTAAGAAACGGTAAAGTTTAGCTGTAGGCATAATACTGTAGGCATAATACTGGATCATGTGTAACCTCCCCCATAACACAAACAATTAAAAAAGATTTCCTTAGCTGCAATAACTTTAAATAAGCCAGCATTTCACAATCTATGAAAGTGGGACTGTCCACAAAGCTATTTGACAATTACCCCCCTATCCCGCTTAGCCACCACCCCCTCCCCCCTCACCCCGGTCATACAACTACGCAATAACAATTATTACTATCAATTGTTTATCCCTCCTTTGATAATTATTACCATCCCCACACACACCTGTTTTTTTTTTCGAGTGTCCCCACACAACCTACAAACATAAATAACAATTGAAAATAGGCAATATATCATACAATTGTTATCCATGTTAAATTAGTTTGTCTCTTTAATTCATATAAAGTTTAGACGGAGACCTAATGAGTCAAGGACCTGTTTCAATCAACCAATCAATATTTCTTTAACCCAAGGGTCGTTGGAGCACCTCAGTTTATTTTTCTTAATAAGTGAAGCGACCGAGTTGACGAGAATCCTTCCATCATATTGTTGACATGGATTAAAAGGGGGGACCAAAATCCGAAAAATAACAATGAGATAAAAGAGTTTTTTTTTTTTTTTGTTTTTTTTACAAAATACACTTTTTATAGTGGTTTTGTTAAACACAAATAGATTTACTACAACGGTGATTATTTTAGAGTATATATATAAATATAAATATATACATATAGGCATATATATATATATATATATATATATTATATATATATATATATATATATATATATATATATATATATATATGTGTGTGTGTGTGTATGCATATATATGCCTATAAATATATATATGTATGCATATATATGCCTATATATATATATATACATATATATATATTTATATATATATATATATATATATATATATATATATATACATATATATATATATATATGTATATATATATATATATATATATATATATATATATATATATATATATATATATATATATATATATATATATATATATATATATATATATATATATGTATATATATATATATATATATATATATATATATATATATATATATATATATATATATATATATGTATATATATATATATATATATATATATATATATATATATATATATATATATATATATATATATATATGTGTGTGTGTGTGTGTGCGTGCGTGCGTGCGTGTATGTGTGTGTGGTTCCATAACAAATTATCTCAGACAAAATATCCCAGACACAATATCTCTAGAAAATTATCTCAAGGACCAATTTTATTAATCTCACGGAAAAAAGATGTTAGGACAACATTTACCAGAACAAATAATATCCTGGAGAAATGATCTAAGACAACATATCTCACAAATCAAAATGAATATAAATTATACTGTAAATGTTGATTTACATTTTAGACTTTCAATATAACCGTAGGCATATATGAAAAAAATGTTAAGAAAACCAAATAAATAAAGCTGGAGTGCTTTTCCCAAAACTTTCTGAAATATACTTTTATAACACTACGAGGGATGGCAACTCAGGATACAGACATGATTTTTAATTTTAATTTTTATTAATTACTTAAACTTTTTAAGAAGAATAGAATCTCGTAGAAAAAAGAATTACGCACAAGGTGAACAGCAAACAATGGATGTATAATAATGTGGAATATTAGTACTTTATATGTGTTTTTGGAGAAATTGCAATTGTAAAGTACTACTTCCGGTCATCGGAAGTTACTCAAAATTTTACCAAAGGCAGAGAATTAGATGTGTTACATATAAGAGCAATTTCGTTAATCGAACCGAAACAACACTCAAGTTATAGGCTTTTGAAAAACCAAAAGTAGAATAAGTAGAATAAGTAATAATACTTATAGATCTATATGAAATTTGATCGACCTAATTGGAACGGTACTCAAGTTATCACGCTCACAGACATATGGTCACAATTGCCAAATTATGTTTTTCCGACTCAGAGCTGTGTAAAACGTCGAGATTTGTGGACATTTCGATTTTGATTTTTTTTGTACGATTACAATACTTCCACGGTACTTTGTATACGATAAAGTAAAAACACTTTCTCAAAGCTGCTTGGAGATGCTGAGGTCAAGGTGAAGATGCGCATTTCCACTAAATGAACGCGAAAAATGAGTGTATATTAGCGCGGTAAATAGTACTAAATAATAGGAGCAATTTTAATTAATGCTTTAAAATTAATTAGACATTCTGTTAAAGTCAAAGTTGATGTCAAATTGCATTGTCCTCGGGTCTCGACCCACGTGCCAAGCTTCAGTGAAACACAGAGGCGTAGCGATCCTTCCCGGCGCCTGGGGACAAATTTTCAATTTGCACCCCCCCCTCCCCTCAACTTTTCGATGTACACCCCCCCCCCCCTCAAACTGCAAAAATGCAGTTAAATTGACATTTTAATTTGTTTTTACAACCCATTTTGGCGCCCCCTAAGGTCGGCGCCCGGGGACATATGTCCCCCTGCTCCCCCCCCCCCCCCCCATCGCTACGCCTATGGTGAAACATGTCCGTTAGAAGTGGTCGAAGCTTCGCTGGCCATTCCCCTTTCTGTTTTAAGTATGTATCAGAAAGTTTAGGGGAGGACACTCCCGCTTTATTTTCATTTACAAAACATTTATTTATACAGATTGGTTTCCCTTACTTTTTTTCTGAACTCTTCTGTTTAGGAAATAACTGCTTCAAACAAATCAATATGGCTGTCAGTGGATACTAAGAAAAGAACCACAGTTTTTTGTTTATTATTTTCATAAACAATTTAGAAGTTTTAGTTGTCATCATGAAATAGAGCATTTTTATATCTAGAATTCACACTCAAAATGGCTCAATACGATACACAATTAAGGACTTATTTGTCAAAGGTAACGTCTATTGTTTTCGTTTTCAGTTTTCACTTTTTATTTTCCACACAATTTTTTATTTATTTTTTACTGGTCTACACTTACTTTAGATTATATGTGATTTCTAAGCGCATTTAGTAACTTGTATCACAAATGATTCATTCTATTTCTATCTCTATATTGTTTAATTCCAAGTAGACTTCTAAAATCTAAATTATTACCAAAGTAAACAATAGAACCAGGATTTGTTGCTGTTGTGTTGTGACATCACTGCTGAGTCATTGACTACTAAGCTTACTCATTGACCCATGACAGCTGCAGATAAGGTGTGTTAACCTTAAGCATTCAGACTGTAGATCTAGAATCTACACTAGATCTAGATCCTGTGAGCTAAAATTAAAAAAAAATATTTTCTACTGAACCTAGACCCTGGAATCTAGAGTAGGCCTACTGAAAATTAAATAATGTTAATAAAATATCCTAGACGTCCTAGACCCACATAAATAAATAATTTAAAATAGACCTAGATCTAGATGATATAAATGATAAATTCATAAACCATTACATTTGTGATTGCTTTAACATTTTATACTATATCTGCTTCAGTTACCTGTTACTAGTGTTACCTGCCATAGCCTGTATAATATATAGGGGCCTATATATTTTATATATATATATATATATATATATATATATATATATATATACGCATATATATATATATATATATATACACACATATATATATGAAAGTATGCTTTTTTGTTTGTCCTTTAAGCTTTACGACACCTTTCATCAGATCACCATGAAACTTAGGGAGTTGATATCAATACTCCTGGGAAGGTTTCTGCAGAAACAAAAATTTAAACTTGTTAGGGCAGCACCATGGGAGGGTGCAAATTTTCTCATAATTCGGTTTTGAGTCACTAGAATGGCTATCTTAGCACTTGGTATCCATTTGATTGATCTGTAAAGCTGCACCTTGCGCATCTGCAGCTGCCCAGAATATTGAGTGACACAGCGCCAGGGCTCCATTGTTAGCAGTATAGTGTCTATGTTTGTTATAAAAAAGCTATACACTATGGACACAATGGGCACTAATAATCAGTAGTTATATCAAATCAGGTGCGTCCTCAAGCGACAGATGAGACTGGGCCAATTTGGTCCCCCCGGACTTCCCCGTCAGCATTCTCTAGCCTAAGTTGTTTATTTTAAAGAGCACCCTACACTTCTTTCACGATGCACACGACATTCCATGATTAAGCAGAGTCATGGTCGTACCTGGCGCTACTTCAATAGTGTAACCAGTGGCTCCCGACAACTTCCCGCTATGTCCTTGACACCTGGGCAGTTGCAGGATTACGTTCTACTGTTACGTTTACTGTTACAAGGGTGTTACTCTAGACTTTAACCTAGCCACCCTGGGATGTCTGAATGGTAATCTGGAAAAAACCTGCTCCCCAAGAACTATAGCGCCTGTTATGGAGGGCGATTAACTTACACTCTAGGCTTTCACATAGCGACTCTTGGGCATTTGGGTGGTAATCTGGACAAAGCAGTGCCTTAACAACTGTGATCCAAGAAATATAGTGTCTGCTTTGTTATATATAACCTATATGTAGGCTATACATTTAGAAATTAGAAAATACCAATTAATTTTTTTAGTGAGCTCAGTACAAAACAATGTATAATTTATAAATAAGGAAAATTTGCAACGCTGTTACAATGAAATGATGTAGTTTTTTTAATGTAAAATTCTTTTTAATCGAATACTGCTATATTAAAAAATTTTCTCACATATGAAGCAATGCATTGATTGAATGCAAAGTGCTATTGATATGCTATCTATAATCATGTATAACATGACAGCAATGTTTTCATTTATCTTATAGGGAATCCATTTATTGAAACTTAAACATAAGAATGTATATTAAAAGCTTATACTTATTAGCAGTATGGGATGTGCAGCAGATAAAATTGTAAAAGTTAACAAATGTACCTCTATTATCTTAAAAGAACACTTCATAATAAGTAACATAAAGGACTGATCATTTTAATATTTAAGTTAACACTAGTCCAACATTGACAAACTGTACCTAATAGTTTATAATTCTTAGTCTGTCTTTAGAAAAGATGTTACATTTTTAACAAAATTATCTCTACCCTTATGATACAATTTAAGTTTCTATGTTGAATTGCCAGTTATAAAATACATTCTTCCTGTGAAACAGAGTTTTGCTTATAATCTATTTATGAGAGTTATAGATATTTTTAACATGTATTTATTTAATATGTACATTATATATTATCAAACTTGTTTTGTTTATTTTTCAGTACATACATTCTAATGAAGCTAGAGCTGATATTAATAACACGATTAGCCAGTATAAAGATTTACGACCTACACTCAGTCCGTTTGGTAAATGTTTTTATTTAATATTCTATTTTAATTTTACTATTCAGAATGATAGTATCATATAACATGATATAGAATATTTTTTTGTGTGATAATTAATTCATCAACATGTCCTATTCAATGCTTTTTTACTACCATCACTATCTTGAGATTCTTAGTACTGTCCCTAAGCCTAACCAGGGTCTTAGCTTAATCTATTTATATAAAAAGCAATGTATGTTTGTGTGTGTGTGTCTTTTATGCATTACTACACCTCTCATCACATCGCCGTGAAACTTTGGTAAGTTGTTGTGAATATTCCTGGGGAGGTTTCTGCGGAAAAAAAATTTTGCAAGGGCGGTGCCACTGGAGGGTGCGATTTTACTCTATATACGGTATATAAAATAAATAAAAGTGAATTGCGGTGACACCGTTCACACGATCGCCATGAAACTTTGGGAAGATGTTGAGAATATTCCTGGAGAGGTTTCTGCGCTAAAAACATAATAAATGTCGATTGCGGTTTCGCAGCATTATTCCGTGTCACGTTAGTGAAATGCGCAATCTGCATCATTGTTAGCAGGATGCTATTTGGCACGATGGCGCCTGTTAGTTTTAAGGAGACAGGGGTCGTACGCCGCGCCTATGCGGTAGTGTAATCAGGGGGGGGCTTCTGAGAGCGGACCTATACGTCTCTGACACATGGGCGGTCACCGAAGTGTGTTCTACCATATTATTTCGGTGAGTGATTAATGTACACTCAAGGTTTTCATGCGGTAGTGTAGGTTAACCCATGTCCTGATATTTATGATCCAAGCGCAGGCATTGTTTACATTTAAATAACTTTAGAAAAGAAGGTCACGCGTCTAAAAACATATGATTGGTAACGTGTTGGTGAAATCCTTCTAATATATTTCGTCAAACTTTCTTCTATCCCCGCGGCAACGCGCGTTGGGGGGGGGGGGGGCGGGCGGGTACGCTAGTAAATAATAAAATTTACCTTCAGAAAATGAACTAGAAGTGTTACTGTAAGGTAATTTGATACTACTTATCTAATCTTCTACCGGGTTTGATTTTAAAAAAAATAATTTGATATATTAAAAATTATTGAAACCTTTCTGGGATGATTGCTACAACATACAATTTTACTTTACTTGGCAATGTCAAGTAAAGCTATCACAATTGGTCTCAGAAAGGGATAAGTAAGGAAACTGTTTACTTTTTATAATATTGTCTCAAGTTCGGCTCTCGGTTTGGACTTTTGACTGTGTGGGGTCTTTGGGTCCACCCAGCTCTGATGGGTACTTGTATCAAATTAGGGAAAGTAAAGTTAAAGGCGGCTTGCCAAGGTCAAGAAACATGTGAACTCTACCTCATCTAGCTTATTGATTATTGGTTCTGAAAGGGGAACTTCACTATTTGATTCCTTAAAACATCTCATTTAATAATCTATTTGTAAAATATTAATACAAAACGTTTATTTAAATTTCTATTTCAAGTTTTCAATGATGGAACAGATCGGGAGTTAGTACAACTAGAAGGTACCATCCCTGTAAACTACAAAGGTACCAGAAAGTAGTTGTTTTTCTTTTAATTAATTTTACAATTTACATATTTTAGTGAAATAAGTAACTTCGAATTTAAATTAAATATAGTTTAGTGTTTTTATTTTAAAAAATGTATATGAATTTTTTTGTATAGGAAACACATATAACATACCAATCTCAATATGGGTTTTGGACACACATCCTCACAATCCACCAATGGTTTTTGTCAAACCAACTAACACTATGCAGATCAAACCAGGCCGTTATGTGGATGCAAATGGCAAAGTGGATATGCCCTATATACGCGACTGGAAACACGTAAGAGAGATAAAATATGTGTATTCATTTTATCAAGGTTTTAGTTATAAATGAGTTTCTCTATTTTAACTGTACAATTTAACCAATTGGACCTTGAAACTAATACAATCAATATCAATATTTTTTTAGAATACAATTAATATCCATATTTTTTTAGAATACAATTAATATCAATATTTTTTTTAGCCGTCAGCTGATCTACTTAGCCTGGTACAGGTACTGGCATTCACATTTGGAGAGGAATGTCCTGTGTTCTCGAGAACTTCAGGCCAGAGACAGCCCCAGCTGGCATATCCTGGTCAAACACCATACCCTGTCAACCCAAGTAACGAGAGCTTTAGTTTAATACATGCTCTATAACTTGATTAGCAGAAAAAAAAAATTTTAATTTATTTTAAGATATTTTTTAACGTAAATGCTCTATAACTTGATTGTCTTAGCTCATGGTTAGCAGAAAAAAAAATTTAAAATTTATTTTAAGATATTTTTTAACGTAAATGCTCTATAACTTGATTGTCTTAGCTCATGATTAGCAGAAAAAAAAATTATTTTATTTTAAAATATTTTTTACCGTAAAAAGTATTTCTGTTTTTGCAGGCATGCCATATCCATCTGCTGGCAGTGGAGGTCCTGGTGGATATCCAGCCGGAGGATATCCACCTTATCCAGGTTCCTATCCCAGTTATCCACCATACCCCCAGCCCTCACAGAACAATGGGTATCCTCAACCTTTCCCCTATCCGGGTGCAAACAATCCACCGTATCCAGCACAAACACAAGGGCCACCAAATTACCCACCCGCAAGTGGATCATATCCACCTGTGCAGTCTAGCAGTAACCCACCTTATCCGATGTCGAACTCTGGTATGTGACTTCATTTATTAAAACATTTTTACTTGAACCAGCATACCATATTGATTTATGTTTATACTACTAAGATTAAATTATGGGATGGCGTGGCCTAGTGGTAGAGAGTTAGGCTGCCAATCCGGAAGTCTCGATTCCAGGTTCAGGTCAGTAAAACGTCCCTGAGTCCACGCAGCACTGATGGGTATCTAACTCACATTAGGGAAAACAAAGGCTGATAAGCACAGTGCTGACCATACTATCCCTTTATATGCCAAAGTCTGAAACAGATGAACTCTACTGCGTCTGCCCCATGTATTTTGGACATGTTTTGGAGAGTAGCTGAAGATGCTCATCTAATTGCATTAGCTCGATACTTAAAAGCAAACAAATAGATTAGAAAATTAATTTGTTTTCAACTCCTTCAGTGAAAGTTTCAATTAATTTTCTGACGCTTTTTTTTTTCTTCAACTCCCAGTAAAGCATAAGCATGTTTTTTTTTTTTTTTTTTTTGCTATTTTTTTTTTTAAATTTAAAAACATCTTTGAATTAAGTTTCATTTTCTTTATGACTTTATGCCAGGGTCTCCCTTATTTTCTTGAGCCTTTTGGATTCCATGAAAGGCTTTATTGCTGGTTTCCTTAACATACAGCCATTACCACCTTTCCTTGTTTCCTTGCTCTACTGGAGTCTGCCCAGTTCTTTCTGATTTTGCTGTCAAACAACTATAATATTCAGACCAAACAAGAGTTAATAAAATATTTAAGCCTGTTTCAGTCTCCTTTTGTTGATCACTAGTTTTAGGCAGCATGCAAAAAAAAAAGACTTTTTATTACAATTAAAAATACATCATTTGCTCTGTATGTTTTAAGCTCTGCTAAAGCTTTTATAAGACTAGCAAAAAGACATGTAGTAACTTTAATTCTTTTGGCTTGTATGCAATGCTGCCTACTTGTGCCATTTCTGTTGTTATTTTACAATTTTTATTCCCAAATTTTAATATTACAACTATGTTTGATTGGTCATAGTTAAAACATATTTTGTTAAAAAGTTAAGATTCAATAATCTAATAAGTGCACTGTAGTGCAATATTTATGGTAATTTATCATAGAACATGTCTTTGTTACTTCCCATTTTAAATTGTATTTAAATCAAGGGAGAAAATTTATAACATTGCTCCCACAAATCATTAAAAATACGGAAATTCAGTGTTAGCAAATTACAAAATGAGATTTATTTATTTTATTATTTTAGTCAATTTAAATGTTAAAACACTTGTATGAATTTTTTTCTGCTGTTTACATGTCTCATTTATTAAAAATATCAGTCTAAATGGAAACATTTAGCCTTTTAAAATAATGATTTTATTTAGACATGAGAAAGTTCAGTTTAATACACATTCAGCTGCTGTGACATATTTTGTCTAAAGTGTTTAGTTTTCAGTTAGTATATCTAAAATCTCTCAAAAAAACTTTTTTTTTAATAGTTAACCCTACCAGTTTTCACAGCAAGTGTAAAAAAAATGTATATTACTGATTTTAAAACTGAAAATCTCTACCTACTTGAACCTGGATTCAAACTTGAGACTTACAGGTTAGCAGTCTTACTCTTTACTGCTAGGCCACTCTGCCCCATTGTTAAATGTGCATTAAACAAAATTAATTATAAAACAAATGTAAACTAACTCTTACTGAAATTAGTCATGGGAATATCTAACAGATGTGTCTCATGATTTCTCAATGAACAGGAAGTGGTGAAATCCGTTACCCAGCCGGCATTTCTACTGGTGGCACAGTCACTGAGGCAGACCTGCGGGCATCACTGATGTCTGCAGTTGAAGACAAAATCAAGTGGAGGTTACGTGAAACTTTTGCACAGGCCCAAGTATGTCTGATTATAATTTTTTCTAACTCTTTTCTCTGCATACAAATTCTGTTGCAGTATATATATTATCCCATATGTATATTTACGTCTCTTTCATTACCTGTATTCATATAATTAGTATTTGTAATTTTATTTTAACACTTTTCCTTCACGCAGGCTGAGATGGATGTGTTGAGAAAGACACAGAAAGATTTGTCTACAGGAAAAATTAAATTAGAAACTATAATCACAGAATTAGAGAAAGAACAGGTTTGTTGCTCCATTTGTGTGTTGTGTATTTAAATGTTGTTTTTTTTTGTACATGATTTGATCCTTATACTCTATTCTCTGTTTTACAAGAAAATTCATTTACCTTTTTTGGCTTAAGTTTTGTTGACCTCAATCAGTTTTTATCTCCTGATTTGGCTTTGTATCTAAACTTTTTCTACTACCAGATTCCTAATCTTGGGTAAAAATATTTCTGGATTTTGTGCCCCTACTTCATATCAGGCAACTTCTAATGTTTTTCTTGTAGTTGTTCTTTAATTGCATAGTTGGACAGGATTTCCTTTAACATTATTATTACATGTCAACCTGTTATGTGCCATATAGGCATTTGACTCCAGTTTTAGCTGACTTTGCTTTCTGGATTTGTTACCTTAGCCTTTGTCCAACCAAGAACAAACTACATGACATGGTAGCAGTTGTTTGATTTTGGAGTTTCTTTCCTAGATGGGTTGCTGTCCCCAGCTATACAACCTCATCTGCTCGGAGGTTGAACTTGGGGCATTTCAGTTTAGCAGCCATGAGCTGTACTAACCCATCCGAGCTGCCACTCATTGTTTTGCATGATGCCTTTTGTGGATTCATTTATGATGACAGCTTTAATTTCTCTCTGTGTTGTTGTCTCCAGCTATTCAGCCTCATCTGCTCAGGGGTTGAACTCTGGATGTTTCAGTTCAGGAGCGGGTCGGCGTGGTCGAGTCAGTAAAGCTCATGGTTGCTAAAGCGAAAAGTCTCGAGCTCAAACCCTCGGGCAGATGAGGCTCGTTAGCTAGGGACAGCCACTCTTCTAGGAGAGACAACTCCAAAATCAAACAACTGCTGCCTTGTAGTTTGTTCTTGGTTGGACAAAGGCTATGGAAGCAAATCCAAAAAGAAAAACAGGCTGAAATCGGAGTCAATGGCCTCAATGGCGCATAACCAGTTGACACGTAATCCTTAATTGTGATGGAAGCATGGTCGAGTCGGCAAAGCTCATGGTTGATAAATTCGAAAAAAAAGTCTCGAGTTCAAACCCTCTGGCAGATAAGGCTCGATCCCTCCCAACACTAAAAATTAAGAACGAAGAAGAAGTTCAGGAGCCATAAGCTTTACCAACCCAACCATGCTGCCCCACCCCCCATTGTTTTACATGATGCCTTTGTGGATGTAATCCACAACACAATTTGTATGCGATGGCGCCTGTCGTCCATTGCCTGATTTCCATGAACTGCAATATTTTGAATTCATTTTTTCACGTCCAATAAGCAACACCCACCTGCATTTCTGAGTGCAAGTCTCTGAGTATCTTTAGTTAAATAACATACATACGTGTTGTGTTTTATTTTTATAGGATGATCTTGAAAAAAATATTGCCATACTTCAAAGCAAAGATAAAGAGGTAAAAGATGCCATTCAAAAAATGGAATCGAGCCAGGATATGAATATTGATGATGCTGTGGTGACTACGACTCCTTTGTACAGACAGTGAGTGTTTCATTCCAAAATTTAGAGTTGTGTTGAAAGTGTGTCTTTATAGTTACAGTTCATCTGTTAGGTTTAAAATGTGCTTTTGTATCACATGCTGTAAGTGAATAACAGTAGCCGCTGTACTGCAAGGTAGAACAATTTGTGTCAGCCCTTAAACAGTTTGGTTGTGAAAACAAATGAGAAATCTATTCAAAAGTAATAAGCTGTTAGACTTGAATTGCCTGGTTTTTTTGTTGTTTTTTTTTTAATATTAAAATATTTTTAAAAGAGCCATTGGGTCATAGGTTATAATTATCTTCAAAATGTAAGTCTACTAACATGTTTGGTGGTTTATGCTAATATCAAACTTTAAATTGTTCAAACAGGCTCGTTGATGCCTTTGCTGAAGAACAGGCCATCGAGGATGCAATTTACTATTTAGGAGAAGCTCTTAGGAAAAATGTTATTGAGCTTGAATCGTTTTTAAAGGTATTTTTGTTTTCAAAGAGTCTAATTATTAAGCGTTATTATAGGTATTTTTCTGGAACCCAACAAAATTATTTAATTTTAAAAGTCAATAAATGGTGTAGTCTGGTTTCTTTTTATGATATCCAATATTTCCTATTGTGCATAAATTATTGTATTCGTAAGTTTTGATTTTTTACAATTTCACTTTCATTTTTTTGCACGATAGAGGGTACGAGAGCTTTCCCGGAAACAGTTTATGCTTCGAGCAACAATCCAGAAGTGCAGAGAGAAAGCCGGTCTAGCCCCCTTAGCATAAAATATGAATTCTATCAGCTGTTTTTAATCTTGTCATAGTTATGAAATGCTTATTTATACACATTGGTTTTTGCTTATTTGTATTGTTTGAGATTGTGGTTTTTTTTTTTTTTAAATAGCTCTATGCCAGTTTTATAATTTGGTTTAAAAAGTTGTGTGCTGCATTCTGATTTAATTATTAATTATCATTTGTTTGGTTCTGGAATGAAAAATGTTGCAATGTTTTTAATTTTTAAAAGTGAGGTTGGTTCTTAAATATGGTGATAGTGTTATGTTACGTTACCATAAAATTTTGTTCTAACTACTGTAACATGAACATTCTCACTAAACAATATGTGAACTAGAAGATGATAACTAACATTTATTATGGACATTATTACTGTAATATTACCAGATATACTCGCAAGATATATAATAGCTTTTTAACAATTATTTAATTACAAAAAAATCCTGTGTGTTCATTTTGCTTATCTTTTTTTAATGATAAATTATAAACTATAAAAATTTTCATTCTTGCTATATTTTTTTTCCTGCTTTTAAGAGGTTATATTGGTAATTGAACCTACACATTCCTAGCATTTAAATTGTAACATTTATCATACCTATGAAATCTATTAACTTTTAATAAGTCTGAAATTTAACAATTTCAAAACAAATTTTTAATCAGTCATATGTAGGCTGGGGTTATATAATCATCTACACTTGCACATTTTGTTGTTTATAATACTACCAGCATTTCTCTACTGGTCATAATTTAGTCTTTTATTTATTTGGTCTAAATCAGCTTGTTTTCGTATGTTAATAAATGTGTTGTTTTTTTAAATATATATCTGATTGTGAATATTAGTTTTCTTTTTCAAAGAAAGAGATCACTGGTAGTGTTAATTCGTCTTCAACAATTTGATTTGATTTTCGTTAAATTTATAAATTGCTGTAATTTTTACATTTTAAATTAATTAAATTATATTTGGTCAAAAACTAATTTGTTGGAATTATTGGCAATATACCATTCTGGAATTGAGTAGAAGGTGCTTGGTCCACTGTATATTTCCAAAAGTTAGTACAAGTGTTGGTGTTTGCTGCATTAAGTTAATTATTGAAGGTTGCAGTATTTCTCCAATTTCAAAATTGGGTAAAATGATAAATATTTAAAAATGTATTCTTTTGAAATGCTTTAATTTAATGATGTATTATTTTCAACTTAATGATGTTTTTTTTTTGTGTAGACTGTAACAGAAATAACAGATGTATATAATCACTGTTCTGTATCTGTGTACTGAAATGTTATTTGCATTGCTGGGATTAAAAGAGCTAAGCTTATAAAACAAATCAAGCTTCATCTTTGCTATATCAGCTGCTAATTTTTTCTTTTTTATTCATCTTAAGCTTCAGTGTTGTACCAAACCTTCTGATACTTAAATACAAAGATGATTTTAGCATTTTATGGAAAGGGTTAAACTAAAGGGATAAAATTACACATTTGTAAAGGATAACATAATTTAATTTAAAGGCTTGATTACGAGAGCTTAATAGAAATTGTTTACAGTGGATTTACAGTGCATGACATAATGAGAAAATAAATTTAATTACTACTGTGTTTGTTTACACTTAACTTCACTCTGCTTGCCTGGTATAGTTAATTTATGTAAGTTTTGTATGTATTATTTGCTTATACTATACAAGAAAAAACCTCTTAGATTTCACAACTTTTTCTTTAAAGCACTGAAGTCAATGATTAAATTTTTTGTCTGCATCACAATATTTTCATGTAACCAAAATTTTAAAACTTGATTTCAAACATTTATTGTGCACAAGATATAATTACTCATGCAAGTTTTTGATGTGATGCCACTAATAGATTTGGTAATCAAAGTGGTAACTATAGAATTGTTGAGTTTGATTTGGTACCTACCCTTAGCCCAGTAAATAAAACGAGCAAATGAAGAACTGGATATATTTTGGTGTGTTTATTTTTTTTTATCCTGAACATGTCATTGAAGTCATCTTTTAGTAATGTTACATGAGTATTTGAAAAAAATCATTCAAATTTATCACAACTAACTAAAGAAATTATTTTGAAAGTATACAGGGAAATTTCTGTGTGTAATCTGTACTGCTGAAAAAATTTTATATAGAAAAAATTGAGTATCCGAAACTTTGTTTTGAAAATTAAAAAAAAATATTATTTCTTTATATTCTGTTGGTGGAGATAATAAAAATGGTTTACTATTCCAAGAGTTTGAGCAATTTTAAAATATAAGAAATTCCTGTTTTAGTTGTACAAACTAACCTTTTAAGATAAGTGTTTATCTTCTGTATAAAATCTCCCTTCTTTTTTGTACTAGCATCGGCTAACAGTTTGTAATACATTACACAATACCAAATACACTGTTTTCTAAAGATCTTTATCACTACCAAATGCACTCTTTTAACCCCTAATGTATGGCATTATGTATTAGAAATGAATTTACCCAAAATGTTTTATTCTTATTGCTACCAAACTGTAAACAAATTAAAAGCAGTTTTATAGTGGTAAAAATTATTTACTGTAATTACTTTAGAACAGGTGGGATTTCCATACTATTAAGACCACTCTTAGTCACAGGTGTTTTTATATTTAATGTTTCCTTTTTATTTATTTTAGGTTTGCAAATAGCAAAGTAATTTGAAAATGTAAAATTAAGTTTTGCATTAAACCTTAAATTTGATTTTAAAATACATTTTTTTAAAGTATTGATGAACTTTTTAAGTGAAATGGTAATTGAAAATGTTTCATAAAAATTGGAAATCTGAAATTGTTTGTCCTGTTGTTTTTGAAAAGCTACATTACTTTGTTTATTATCTCCTTTAAAACTGTTTCTAAAATTTTTTTTTAAATAATGAGCAACAACACAATAAATATGAATATGTTTATTTTGAAAATTAAATTCATCATTCTGAATTTTAAGAAGGGTGTAGAATTTGTTATTATTGGATATAACAAATCAAACAACATTGTTAACCGTACGGAATTAACATTTTATAAAAATAATCTTACATGAAATTTATCACAAATGCAAAAATTGCAAAATACAGTGCTAAAGCAATAAATACAATAAAGCGTAACATTCTTTATACAGAATACTTAATTAAGTTTAGGAAGCTTAAAAAATGATGCTAAATTAAGCGAAGATCAACAAATATTGTTAAAATCATCATGTTTTATGCTATCGATAAAAAAATGCATTGAATCCAGAAGACTTAACCAGGGGGCCATTTCATCTGTCTGCCTCCCATGACATGGAGGTGCAGGTGATAGACTGATTGTGCTCCATCTTGTCCATTGTTTATCACTAGGGATTCAAAGAAAAATCAACATTTCAAAGTGTAAACAATTTGTTTAAAATAGAAAAAAAAAAGTTAATCTTAGTCATTTATATTAGGATTGACCATGTGATTAGTAGAAATTTTTAGATACTTGTTTTGTTTTTATTTAAAATGGTAGGCTTTAAGTTTCAATTTTATATAACTTACAATTTTACTGGTTATAAATCCTAAAGTTTATTTTATTTTAACACGTTTTTATTAACTCAGCTTCGCGTTTGTGTGTTTGTTGTTAAAATTGACATCGAAAATTAGCCCACTTCTGATTGCTCTATAGATCTGAAATTTGGCATGCAGGTTACTTTCGCCTAACAATTTCAGATGCAATCATAAAAACTAGCAATTAGAGACCGTAATTAGCTTAATTTAATTACGCCCCAAGGACCATAAAATTGAGGACATGATTTCTAAAGATACCGACAAGACTGGAGGCTTATTGACACAGTTACTTCGGCCCCAATCGATGTGAGCGCGCTGGCCGTGATCGTATAGTGGTTAGTACTTCGCGTTGTGGCCGCGACAACCCAGGTTCGAACCCTGGTCGCTCAAGATTTTTTTAGTCCGTGTATTTATAAACACTTAGTCAATTCATACTTAATCAAGTCATTAGATAAAGTAGAAAATAAACTATATAAAAAACTTTTTTAAAAACCACGTTTTTCATGTGTAGCAACGGACTAAAAAGGAGAAAATAAAATACTTAAAAAAAACTTTTTAAAAAACCACGTTTTTCTTGTGGACTAAAAAGTAGAAAATAACTATTTACATACATTTGATGACAAAAAACGTGGGTCGGGCAGATGGGTCGGGAAATTTGATGGTGAACGTACCCACGTTTTTTGTCATCAAATGTATGTAAATAGTTATTTTCTACTTTTTAGTCCACAAGAAAAACGTGGTTTTTTAAAAAGTTTTTTTTAAGTATTTTGTTATTATTGTTAAATATGAACTTACCAACTCTGTAACCTTTTTCTAGTTTCTGTTGCTGAGCTACTTTATTGGCCACAAACAACAAGTGCCCTAGTAACTAAAGAAAAATAAACTTCATTAACTATAATAAACTTTATTTAATTAAATCTATTAACCTTAAGATCGACATCCCTATAGTTAAAGGATTTTACAGGCCTAAATAAAATACTTAACACCTTTGCTACTCCAGGTTGACAAACTACTAAAACTTGTAGGAAATAATTATAGCTAAAGATTAATGTATTCAAATATGTCTCAATGACAGATAAAAGATTTAGTCTCCCATTAATACTGATAAATTGTTACAAAACTGCCTTATATACTCTTACGATCTTTGCAAAACAAAAGCCCACTCACAATAAGGAATGAAGATATTTGTATAAAATAGAATTGAATAGTATAAAAACAATATTAAAAATCTCTGTAATTTCTAAAAAAAATGTATATGTTAAAAGCATTGTTTGGGAATAATGTAACTGTGTGGTATATAATAATTAAAATATAAATTCCCTTCAAAATAAACACTCTCTCTGAATGGATCTAATATCCTGTGTTAGAAATGACTGCTTTAATAAAAAAAAGATGGTACTTTCCTATTCACCCCTATACAAGAAATAACTGAAACCATTAAATGGGTCTACAATGACCTACATGGCTGAACAATAAAGTTAGTAGTTAATATAAATCTATTTACATTAGAACTTCTTACCTGTTCATCTTCTTCAGTAGTTTTACTGAGCATTGATATAAACTTCTTAGGGATAACTAGAAAATGAACTGGAGCCTGGGGTGAAACATCAGCAAAAGCTACAGCCTAAACTCATCAGAAAAGAAACAAATCAATTTTTTTTTAATCAGTTCATAAATGCAAACTTTAAACAGATTGCTTCACTTAAAATAGTTATAAAATGTATACTGCTGGGGATTCATCCCATGTTTTATTTTTCTTCCCACTATTAAAAAAACTAAAATAAAATAAACTTCATACGTCTAGTTTTGATCCTATTTAATTAGTTATTTTTATTATAGCAAAATAAGCATACATAAGAGATGAATGTAAACTTTACATAGAGTCTTAATTATTTTTTAGTTTTTATTATTCTCATCTACTCAATTTATTGTGTTAAGTAGCCACCTCAATGGATAATTAAGTATATCGCAAGTGTATGAGTTCTGTAGCATAATATAAAGAAGACTCATGACATGAAAAAAATGAAAACCATAAAATTATTTTCGTTGCATATTATCAATATCATCTTTTTCTTTTCGTGCCCAAGACACATGGGGCAGGTGAAGAATAGTTAATTTGTTAAATTACCTGTGCATTTTAGAGATAGTGTGGTCAGCACCATGCCCAGCTGTCTTTGTTTCGCTAACGCTAGTCAGGTTCTCATCAGAGCTGGCTGACTCAGCACTGGATTTGAACTCTAGACTTTCTGGTGAGCAGTCGTAAGCTCTACTTTCAGACCTACATTATCCTTTTCATTACATATACCAAGTGAAATAGTTGTTAAGCATTAAATATACCTCACGATCTTCATACAATATTTTAGCAGGAATAGTTTTGTTTATAATCTTTGCAAATATGGTAGGTGCATCTGTTTCTTTGGCTTTTTGTGCTTTTGTCATTTCATCTGAGGCACAGGAGTTGGTTGAAGTGTGCTATAAAAAAAGACATTTTAATTTTTTTTTTACAATTTTAAAAAACTTCTGTCCAAAAAAATTATAAAAATAGACACATGAAGTAAAGATGCTGCCAAAAGAAATGTATTAAATCTGTAAATAGAATAGGTGTATAATTTTACTTTTGTTAATATTTTATCAGTTATTTCATGTTAAAACTTGTACTGAAACTTAAAACTTTTAAGAGAAATATGAAAATAACTAACTTGATCTCACTGTGGTGTTTAAATCATGAGTTAACACAATTAGAGAAGAGACATAACTGTAGTGTTAATGAATGCTGCATGTATGTTTCTTGTAAATCTAGTCATCAAGCAGGACATAAATGTTTCATAAAAAATAGCATCTTACAAGGATAAATTCACTTGATATATTTAAGGGTATATTTTCTATATGGGGCAAAGATACAATGATGTCATGCATTCCTAGGTCTAATTCAATCTTTGACCATGTTCGGTAGTCATCCATAAATGACCTCACACATATAGTTAGTAGGCCTACTAGATGGATGGGGTGAGCTTTCAAGAATGTCATGTAACATTTATAATATCTCTTAAAATAAAAATGCAGCCAAAATATTAATATAATTATGGTTATTTGAAGGAAGGGGGGGGGGGGGTGAAACTTATTAATACCATTTTAAGCTGGGGATGAGGGATCAAATTTTGCTGATGTATGATGATTTAGTTCATTAAGGGGGGGTGTCTGTAAAAATCTGTTAAATTAGTATTATAATCTTATGAATTATAAAAGAAAACGTCTAACCAAGGGAGCTGCTGATGCATGTGTTGGAGAGAAAAGTTGTGAAGCCACTGCTGCCATACCACACGCTGTGTAATATTTCAAAGGCAGTGAGAAGAAGTTGATTGATCTGTTAGGAACTGTTTTTATAGCATTGGTCAAAATTCTGCTGGCCATTTTTCTATGTAGTAGTTCAACTGCTCAGTTTCATAAATAAGTTTTGCTTGAAGACCTAGAAGTAAATCAGAAATATTAAATAAAGGCGAACTATAAATATTAGATCTATCAAGTACAAAGAATTTTGGGCCTAACTATTATATGCTTATAATTATAAGCTACTAATTTTTAATGAATGGAAAACAACAAAATTATTAAAAATCAATTATATTTGCCCCTCTCCAACTAAATATTCTACAAAGAATACAGTAAAAAAAGAATTCTAGACTAATTACATTTACAGTATTACTGTTTGACTAGTCTTGTGGGCAAATTTAGATAAGTGGTTTTTAACCTTTTTGGAAGTAACAAACTGTAAGCTAGAAGAGTACTGATATGAACTTTCAGTGAACCCTCGACGGCATCGAGATTTTTTAACAAAAAAGTGGCAGCAGCAATCACGCTGGTGACGTTGTTTGGAATCATTTTTTTTAAACTTTCATTTAGATACCAAAAAAAAAAAATATTTTTTAAAATATACGCAGCATTTCCGCTAGCCCATTATCTGCAATATCAAGATGTAAATCTAAAACTAAGTCGAGATCTAGATCTACTTGTGATTAAAGGAAAAAAAATTTCTGTCAGATTTTTGGAGTTCAGGGAATTTTGAGAAATTTTTTAAAAATTTCATGAAAATTCAAGGAGGTTTTTACAATTTTTTAAATTTGATGAGTTTTCCAGTACCTACTGGAATTTTAGGAGGCAGCACAAACCCTGCAAACCCCACCATCTACATACGCAAAGCAGCTTAAGGAAGTGCTCTTAGTTTAGCCAGTGCTAGACTAAAATTGCTCAAATTAGCATTGCAAATCGTGCATTTAAAACAGACGTACAACTGGATCAACATAAAAAGTATGTTTGTTACAGCATATAGTACATACTACACAGTCAACATGTGCCTTTAATGTGTGTCTTGATCTCCATCGAACCCATGGGATGATGAGACTGACTCACAAAACCCCTGGGGTTCAAATAAGCCCAGGTTAAGAACCACTGTTCTAGATATACAGACGGATCAGTGCTGCCTTAAATAATAGTACTGTACAGTAATAAAGGATCTAAAACTAGTAATAGTAGGCCTGAGCCCTAATGACACCTAGATCTGGTTTAGACTAGTGACTATTACCAGAGTAGTCCGACTGAGCAGTCGACCCTCAGACAGACTACGCACATTAGCTACAAACTACAAACCTTTTTTTTTTTTTACTATTTTATTTTCACTATTTAGTATTTTCTGTTGTGCAAGTTTGAAGTTAGGCCTACTCCTATAATAATAATAATAATAATAATAGGGCCTAATAATAATATAGGCCTAGCCTAATTTACTAATTAATTATGCTTAATTTACTAATTATTGAATATTGACTAATTAAATTTTATTAGGCCTAATTAGTGAAGTATGAACTATGAAATGAAGGGCCAAACTCAAACGCCTAATTTAGTAATTTTGTGTTAGGCACTGTTAGGCAGGCTTTGAGTATGAAGAATGAATTATAATTATGAGAATGTGAAGTACAATCTACTAATACTAATCTAGAGATCTAGATTCTAAGTGCCATACCTTTTTTTTCAGTCAAAATTGGAACAGGTTTATAGATCTACAGATCTACATCTAGAATCTAGAAGATACAATACATTGTATTGAATACAAAGATCAAGAATTCTAATTCAGTCGAAGTCTAACAAACAAGCGAAGAGATAAGACGGGTTCAAAGGTTATGTTGGGGAACATTTTACGGTGTAAATGGAAACAAATAGCTCTGAAAACAAATTAGGACGACAAAATCTTTCGTATTATTATTTACCTTAATAGTTATTATTAAATGCAATGATAAACTACAATTCGAGCAGAGAAAAGCTTGCGGTTTCGTTGGTAAGAAAATAGATCTAGATCTAGATCTAGATCTAGGTCTAGGTCTAGATCTAGATTTAGATTCAACATAAATTATTTAGATTTAATTTATTTTATAGATCTATTACCTAGAGATAGAGACCTCGGTAATCTATCCGATAGATTACCGAGGTCTCTATCTCTATCGTATTGGATTGGGTACGTAAAATCGCCCGCGGCGATTAATGTACGAAAACGTTACCTCATTGTCAAGGCTGTAATAGAAGTATATTGTGATATGTTTGTGTCAAATATTATAGATAAATGAATAATAAACCTAAATCAATGGCTAAATCCTCAAAATGTGAAATAATTATTAAAATGTAAGGAGTCACCTGTTTTTCACATTACTAGTCGCGGGCGATTTTACGTACTACGTAGGCCTACCCAAAACGATTGATTACCGCCTAGCCTACTGTCTAACTAACATAATACTATTAATAGTAATTATTAATTAATAATTAATACTCCCTAATTATTAAGGGTAATCTATCGTTTTAGCGTAATCAATTCGGCTGCAGTAGTAATGTGCGGGAGAGGTAACTGATGAATATATTTGTTTAAATAAGTATAATTAAGTCAAATTTTACAAAATATAACAGATATTTGATTTAAAATAACAATCGGTGACCAAAACAATTTAAAATATCATGAAACTAACTTTAAACATGGTGTTTGGGATAAATATTATTAGTAGATAAAAACACTGGCCTTCTTTCCACATAAAATTGAGTAATTTAGAGTAGTTTCCCTTGATACAAATGTCTATTCGTATGTATATTGTGTTGACTTTGTTGTTTAATATACATAGCTGTCTTGTTTAATATAAGTAGGACAGAGGGCCGTCTTATCATCTTTAATTTCAATTTAAATGAAGGCTATGTATGATTGTATGTAATGTATGTATGTACATCCAAGATCTCAAAAACCACTGGGAGGTCCAACATTTATTAAACCCTTTTGTACTGATTAACTTGTCAATTATAGGTCGTCCATATTCCTCATAAATGACGTTGGACTCAAAATATGGGATGGGGTAAAATATTTTTTTTTAAATGATGAAGAATATATTCGTTTTTGTTGGAAATTGTGATTAAGTGTTGGGGTATAGTAGAACTGTGATATGATATTAAATCATCATCTTGCTTTTAGTGATGATTGGGGGAAAGGGAATTCATCGGGAAAAGTATGACGTCATTTATGGGTGATCCATTTAAGCCTAGTTGTTTATTTTGTCTGTAGACAGTAGTCTTAGGCCTACACTTTTTCTGAATTAAGATTTTATTGTGTTTATAACAATAGGTTTAAATTTTAATAAGTTACATTTGAATACCACATGGTGTTTTTTTTTTTTGTTTCACTTATTTGTCTGTTAAAAAAAAAGAAATACGTCATTTTTCTCAACCCCGCCGATTCATCCCCCACAACATCACCAACTTCGCGGCGTGAACTCATTTGTCATTAGGCTAATGTTAAAGAAAGAGATACCGCGTAATTAAAAAAAAACAGGCACTAAGGTGTTGAGAATTTAGCGACGTTTAGCCTGACGAATGTGGGACGGAGTGGTCTAGCGGTAGAGAGCTGGACTGCTAATCCGTTAGTCTCGAGTTCAAATCCGGGTTCAAGTCAGTAGACCGTCCCTGAGTCCACCCAACTCTGATGGGTACCTAACTCAAGTTAGGGAAAGTAAAGGCGGCTGGGCATAGTGCTGACCACACTATCTCTTCATATGCCGAGGTCACAGAAACAAGTGAACTCTACTTCACTTGCCCCATAGACCATCAGGTTTGAAAGGGAAACTTTAGCCTGACGAATAGATCTAAATGAATTTAGTTCGGTAAATTATATTGGTGTTTAATTATTACAGCGACATGCTGTTCTCCCTCTACTATACAAATGCACATGCTTTTAATTTCTGCAACCTGCTGCCCTGAAACGTTCTGTTCTAAAATGCCAGTGACACAGCGGCTTCTGTAAATGCCTTTAGGATCCCAGTCCCACCTATAAACTTCCTCTGTCCATTAAGCTCCACGCAAAACTTGTGATTAATATGTGGACATAAGCGGCGCTAGTGGTGGTGTCAACAGGGACCTCCCACGCCCACCCAAGCCCACTCTTAACTAGATCCTGTTCAAATTAGATAACATTTTTAAACATATCGCCTCCTATACTATTGGATTTCTTTAACGGACAATGAATCATGACTGCCCCTCACCAAAGGCGCACAGTTTTTTACTTATATATATATAATATATATATATATATATATATATATATTGTTACGTACCCCCTTCTCTAATCCTTTCGAACTAGTCAGGGGATCGTAAACAAGAAGGAGAAAAATAAAATTAAATAAAAGCCAACTTCAGTAATCTCTATTTATTCACCACAAAATACAATATCTAACATTAACCCGCCACCACATGGAACACAAGAAGAAAAATACACAACTATCTACAACAACTATAGTCCTTAATTCGACTGCCCTACTTGTCCCTAACTGTCTATCTAGCCTAGGTCTAGTACAAGTCGTGGCTTTCCACTAGCTCACAGAGACGACCCAGGTCTGTCTCCTCTAAGCCTAGCTATCCGAGACGTCCGTCCGTCTCCGTGTGTGTCCCCCGAGTGTCTGTCGAGAGTGTCCCCCCCAGTCTCCGGTCTACCCTCCTAAAGTACTCGTCCCCCGTTCTACACCGTGGGAACGATTTTAATTAAGGCCTGACCCTAGGTCATATCCGTCCATGACGGTCCACTCGGCCCCCTCCGATCTGGAAGGTTTTCCCAGCCGTAAAACACGGACCGTCATTAGCCTAGATCAAGCATCAACGGTCAGCACGTGGTGTCACCAGGTAATTTATGGGCTGTTGTCCACGTTAATAGCCGAGTCCCCCAAGACACCAGGTATGCACCGCCCACAGCGTAATCTAATCCGTGGTGTGGCCGTCAAGACCCCCAGACTCTCACGGCCTATGCTGGCCAGTGCATTAACATGCCTAAGCATTTCATTTTAATTACCTGGCCCTCCTCGATGGGACCAAACCCAGGTAATGATCACTTGGGATCGTAACACCCCCACCCTTCAAGAAATTAATTCGCCACCACATGGTGAATTAATTGAACATCTCTTACTAGACAACCATCCCAATCTCACAATTCCTCAAAAGTCCCAGAATAAACCTAAATAGGACTAAAACAATTTAACATCATCATTATAAAAAGAAATAAGAAACGTGGATGATCTAGTCATAATAACAAGTTTGACTAAATACCCCAAACACAATGTCATCAAACATAGACATCAAAGTAAGTAAAACCGCAAATCTGCAACACATATGTCACTGTCGCAAATAATCTTAATGTTGAAACCAACAGTCTTCGTTTTACTGATAGTTACGTCATCAGACAACAAAACCTGTCAATACAATTAAAAACTGTCACGAATTCATCATCATGTAAAACAGCAATAACACATTTTTTTTTCAAACAAGACATGCATAAGGGTACATTCTTTAAGCCTGAAAATAGTTCATTTTGATTAGAACACTTGCATCCTGGGAAAACATGAAACAGTCTATCTTGGGAACAGTTCTAATAGGTTTGAAACACAAATTAGTTTTCCGTCTTTCGGGTCATCATGAGTCCGTAAACATAAAACTTAAGCCGAACTTTATACCGGCGCAGCACAATTTTAGTGACAGAGTTATTGTCCGTCCACAACAACAACAACTCGCACATAAGGCGTGGTTTCACAGGACTGCTTGCACTAATGCCATGTTTTAACACGATGTTAATCCTGAACACCGTGTCACACAATGAGGGAACGAGTACACGCCCCGTCTTCATGAAAGCGATGGGGTATGCGCTCGCATGTACGCACCCTCGGTTGAGAGAAGTAGCGTGACCCGCTGAGGTCACCGTCTCCGGGTTGTTGGTTTTGACCGGGTCGGTCAGAGAACAATAAATCACCTCCGTGATAAGGGGAGGGAAGCCTGAGTTAGGCTCAACTCCTAAACAAGAGGTAACAACTACGCTTGTCACCGACGTTGACAAAAGATTCGTCGTCTCCTCAAACTCGGGATGTAGAACACCATCCGCGTGACCTCCAGGTGAGGTCATGGCCTCCAGGTTGCTGGTCTTGACCGGGTCGGTCAGAGAACAATAAATCACCTCCGAGATAAGGGGAGGGAAGCCTGAGTTAGGCTCATTTCCTAAACAAAAGGTAACGACTTTGCTCGTCACCGCTGACAAAAGATTCACCGACTCTTCGATCTCTGGATGTAGAACACCATCCACGTGACCTCCAGGTGAGGTCATGGCCTCTGGGTTGCTGGACTTGGTCGGGGAGAAATTAAACACTGCTGTGATAATGGGAGGACAGCCCGTGTTAGGCTCACCTCCAAGACAATGGGTAACAATTTCGTCTGTTACCGAGGCTGGCAGAAGATTCGTTGACTCGTCTAACTGAAGGTGTAGGTCACCATTCACATGACCTCCAGTTAAGGTCATGACGCCTTCAAGACCACAAGTGGTAAGGTCTTGATCAAATACAGTTACTGGTTCAGGTTCAGACGAGGACAGCCTGTTCTCATGGGTATTCACTCTCTCGGTGGTTACCGTTATTTCAGCGGTGGTTGTAACCACTGGTTCTGATATTGACTGCCCCTTTTCATGACTGGTCAACATCAGAGTGGTTGCCGTTATATCATCGGTGGTTGTATCCACTGGGTCAGATATTGACAGCCCCTTTTCATGACTGGCCAATAACAGAGTGGTCGCCGTGATATCATCGGTGGTTGTATCCACTGGGTCAGATATTGACAGCCCCTTTTCATGACTGGTCAACATTAGAGTGGTCGCCGTGATTTTATCTAAACCAATAACTTGCTGACTGCCTTCAGTACTTGTCGGCAGAAAACTTTCAACTCGTAAGCTATCAGCACGTTTTGACGTTTGTACTGGTTGTGCTAGGTTAGAGTCGACTT